ACACACACACACACACACACACACACACACACACACAACGTACATACATATACCCTGGTGCTTACAGGGCATATACAAGTAATACATGGAAACAATTCTCAAATATATGCACAATTTTAACCAATCGTTCTTCCCGCAGCAACATCGACGTAAGAATCCACGCAGCTGAACTCGAATATGAATTAGAGAGAGAGGAACTGAACGTCTTGAATCTGAAGGAGGAGTCATCAGTTCTGGGTGCTCGCCTGCAGGAGAACAGTCCCTCGAGTGCTTCAGGTGCCCCGGGCTCACAGACGACACTCCACGCACTCATCTCCTCAGCAGGGGGGGCGGCAGCACTTTCTGGTGCATCGCTGACGAATATTAGCATTAACCATACCCCAGGAAACCCAGACTTCCATGTAACACCCCAAACACCCTATGGTTGTGCCATTGACTGGGCGACAGAGGAAACTAGACTCCGGAAGGGTGACAGGTAATCTGGAAGAGAAAACTAGGTGGACAGTAGTAATTTAATGATAGTATTGTTTATTAGAAGTCGTCATTAACAGTATTCCGCATATTGAGTTTATTTTATCAAGCTATGTTTATAAGTTAGACTGTTCTGGTTATGAATATTTAATGGTTAGAACAAATAAATGTGTTAGATGTCTAGGGTCATATACACTATTTTGGTTATTAAGATAAACTGATATTTTGGTTATTAGCTTACGCTGATATTCTGGTTATTATTTTCAACTAATATTCTGGTTATTGACTTAAACTGATATTCTGTTTATCAAGTTAAAGTTGATCTTATTCCGTATATTAAGTTAAATTGAGCATATTCTGTTGGACACATTTAGTGTTTGTGAGGTAACAAGTCCAACAGATTTTTGGTTTTATATCAAACTATAATATATGTGTCTAATTACACTAATTATACTAATTACTACTCTTATGTAACTTTTTCACAGATTACTTGAGGTTAATGGAGAGTGTGTGGTGGGTCGGGGGCTGGATATAGTTACAAGGCTTATGGCCTCAGCAACACACCTTAACCTTGTTGTAGCAAGACCAAATTCAGGTAATAATGGATTTTTGTTTCTATATATATTTTTTTGGAAAATCTATTTTATATTAGAATTTTCATTATTTTTGTTATATATTTCTTTACCTTTGCTTTTTAAGAAATAGAATTTATGCCCTGTATTAATCTCAAATTTTATATGAGAAAGGAAAGGAATCCAATGCTTCAGTCCAAAACGTTTCTTTCTCCAAAAGGTACAGGAGCAAGAAAGTCAGAGGTACGTCTAGAAAAGCAGCTTGAAGACAGAGCAAAAGAAATAAAAGATTTGGTGTCCAGACTGGACAAGGCTCTAAAAGACAAGGAAACCCTGAAGTATGAACTATGGCAATAACATTTTAACCATTTTTGAATTATGAATACCAAATTACTGCAGCACTGATATACTTTGAAATTTTAACATTTTCTACAATATTTTAAATTTTATATCTAATACCTGTTCAACCCAAACAGAAGTGACAATACGCGCCTAAATCATCGCATCAGTTACCTGGAAGATCAAGTTTCAGAACTGCAAGCAACTCTCAATCATACCCGTGAAGTTGCTCTGAAGCACAGTGATGGAGAAGCAATTGTCACAACCTCCCAGCCAGGGGCAACAGTCATACAGGTACACAAATCAATAATTAATTAACAGTATTAGATGTATGTATATATAATGGATCTAAATTCATGTTATCTCGCAAAGTCATACTACAAGAGTGAGGCAAAGCAATACAGACCTAATGAAAGGAAACCATAAACTATTGTAAGGTGTATTTTTTTCAGGTTTTTCAAAAGGGTGATCAGAAGTTAGCAGTAGCAGGGCATGATATAAGTAATGGGGTTGAACGTGCAGAACAGTACCCAACCCTTCCAAGGTTAAGATCACCAAATTCTTCTGTGT